ATTGCGTAGAATTTTCTCTGACAGAGAGACAAAATAGCAATTAAGTCTTGCTTTGGCAACACTGAAAAGATTCTCTCGGTTTTGGTTAGTATTTTACCGAGTTATTGCTAATTGGTTTGATAGATGCCTTTCTTTCTTTTAAAAAATCCCAATCTAGAGATCTAGCCACGTTGATTCAAGTATATTTTGTTTTCATCAGCTCTCCAAACACAGAATGAAATTAACTTTTAAAAAAATGCCTTTGTGTTTAATGGAATCCATGTTGCTCCTGTCGCTCCAATGATCCTCACGGTAATAAAATTAACATAAGTTAGGGAAGCCTACAGCGCTGTTATCAGTGTGAACTTCATGGTTTCTTTGGTTTTCTGTGCCGTTTTTTCTTATTTGATCATGATTCGAAATAATTCTGTAATTCATTTAGTAACAAATAATAATTTAAAACGAGATACGAGAGCAATCCTTTTTTGAAATTCGTACTTCGATTTCTTAGAGTAAAAGTGGCTGAATTTTAAGTCGTTAAAACCATCTCCAGCTGAAGTATTTAACCCAAAAAAGCATATCTCCTGCTGAAGTATTTAAGTAAAAAAATACGTCGAAAAAAAAAACGAAACCACAAACAAATAAACAAAGATAAAAACTAGGGATGCTTACCAATTGTTCAGACGCTTTTCGTCTTCACCTCTCTTGATGGTCGGCAAAGAATGGAATGGCGGTTAATGACATAGCCCTGTTTTTACAGGAGAGGGAGAGTGATGGAAAAAGAGGTCCTTGAGGCATTGCCATGGGCTAAAAGTATATAGCAATCCTACGCTGCGAAGGTATGGTTTTCAAAACGATTCATCTGGTTCAGAGTATAGAATATAGAGGGATTTTGTCTAGCGCAGGGTACTATTTATTTTATTTGAAAAACTGTCAACCCGGAGCATAAGGTGGCCATGCCCATTCAAAATGTCACCAGGAGAGTTTGGCCAGGGTGATCTTTAGCTCAATTCGAATTTAACTGATATTTAACTTTATTTCGTCTATTCCATTGCCGGAAATTAGGGACAAGATGGCGGTTGCGCGTGCGCACTAAGGCCACAATGGCTGCGAATTCGCATAAGAAAATGTATGGAGATAAGGAAACTTTTTCAAATATATCGATTATGAGCTCACGGGTGTTCGGTGCACGACTCGAAACATGTTAAGTGCTGTGTAACCTTCGCATCTGGGTTAAAAATAGCTAATTAGAAGTAGGTTTACTTACTTCCCGAAGTGGCCACTTTTATCTCTCGTTGTACGCTCCATTTCTCCATACATTGTCTTAAAATCTTGCCGAAGTCATGCGAAATACTCGTCGATTAGAGGATAAACCCTTCACTGAAGTAAATTTGCACGACTCGATATTACTTCTGCGATGGAAGATGTTTCCAAAACAGTCGTTAAAAGGACGATTTTTGCACTGGAAAATACTTCCAAAAGGCGCCTTATTTCCCTCAGTTTTCCATCTGTAGTCCAGTAATGGACGCCATAGTTGCGAATGACACATTTCGGTCGGACAAAGCTTCACAACTTCAAACCTCACCGAATCGCCATTTTGTTTGTTGCTAAAACTCCAGAGATGCTTCACGGGATATAAACTAGGTTCCAGGCATTCAAAAATCCTCGATTAGCCTACCAGGCTTGGTTTTAAAACAAAATTGTCACGAAAATGTCACGAAAATGTCACGAAAGGTACATCCGCGTACTGTTTTGTTGCTATCAGCCGCTCGGCCGAGTATAAACCTAACATTTTCTTGCTAGGTATTTTATTCCAGCTTTTTTCCTCGTAAAACGGATTCACAGAGCTCAAATTATTTTAAAAAATCGCAGGGGATACGTCATTTGGAAATGAGATTCCGCTGACAATTAATCACGGGCGCGAAATGTCCACGATTTCTGGCAATGCCACCCCAGAATAATAGTGGCAAACTAATCAACAATCTCTATGGCAGTAAATGTAAATAAAAGTAAAGTTCCACTTTAAAAATTACACGGTAAGTTTAATCTGAGTAGGTGGTGTCCTTGCTCATTTGTTAATTAAAGTCATCTTTAAGTCACTGATGACTGCAGCTGGTACCTCCTTTTCTACTAATCTTTACATTGTATTATGGTTTCAACTCGTTGTTTTTCCCTGAAATGATGCTTAGTTCTTTCATGATTGCCTTAAGCCATCTTATGCCGTGGTCATACGAGAAACTGCCGTTCAATGCATGAGCTGAAACGCTTCATTGCCTTTCAAACTGCGCTCTTGTCTGGTCAAATTTTGGGGTCTTTTAGGTGGAATGTCTTATTTCTTAAATAAATATCACCACGTTAAAGGCTTTTTAACTTTACTGGTACCAGCTATGACCTTGTGACCGTTTGGATTTCTATTCAGTTAATGAATTTATTTACAGATCGAGCCGTCGACAAAATGCATGCTCTTCAGGCAGAATTTGAGCTAGCAGGGAAATCAAACATGGGAATAAGGAGAATTGATGCTGGTTTTGGCTAGATAAAAAGGTATACTTTTTCTACTGGCAATCGCACTGTATTTTTTTTTCATGGATTGTAAAACGAGCGAAACAGGTAAGTGCGCGTAAAAATCACTCCACGCGAGAAAGGCAAAACACCTTTCAAAATCACACTTTTGCCAAAAAACGGAAATTTGTTTGGGTGTCTCAATAAAAGCAAGCAAAAAGTGAATGTCTTTTATTTTTTTAAAAAACGTAGTTACTACAACATGGAACGGCCTAAAACCACCTACAACCACCTCAAAACTGATTCAACAACTGCCTACAACCACCTCAAAAACACCTACAACCACTCGCAAACAATCTTAAACCGTCTAAAACAAGATGCTGGGGGAGCGTATATTTGGGCGTGGTCGTACTACGCGTATGATACTTTGAACATGCCTTATTGCAGCTAAACAACTGTCATCATATCTTACCAGAGACGATAGATCGTTTTCTCTACTTGTTTGCTGAACCACACAGCTTGTACAGTATGTCCCAATCCACAACAATAATCCCGTCATTTCATGACAATGTTTGAAAATATGCACAGCTTCAATGCCGACATGCTTGGAGCCA